CGCATCTGCCTTCAGCTGGGATCATGATCCCAGGGTCTTCAGATCGAGTCCCGCATCAGACTCCCTGCTCAGCAGGGAGCTGAGAAGGAGGGGGCTCCTTCAAACCGTAATCTCCGGTCCGTGTGCAGAGGAAACCTGGGAGCATCTGTAGCAGGTGGATAGAAGAAGCTGCCGCCCCTTTGCTTACAGTGGCCTGTCGGGTGACATCAGCAGCTTCTTGGAACAGTCTCTGGTTGTTTCCCCCGAATGACCAGAGGAAACTGTTTTTCCAGCACAGCTTATTTAAGTTAAAGCCCATAACACAGAAGAGAAATTAGAGCACAAGCGTTCCAGTGTCTCCACTTCTGACAAGTAGTTGATGTTCAGTGTCACATTCCATCTTTCTGTTTTCCTTTGGAAAGAATACATCATGTAAATACATTTTTACATATCCAGATTTCCATTGTTCAAAGGCAAATGTATAGTTGGGATGTCTGCCCTGGGCATGTGACCAATGCTTAGATGCCCATTTTATGCCATTATATTCCATTTTATTCCTACAACAGTAAAAGCAAATCTGCTCAAAGGCGGATCAAATCTTCAAAATCAGGAGGATTTTCTGTTCGAAAATCTATTGCATCACAGAATGATTGCCAGCACCACTGCGCCCTGCTATATCTGGGTGATACACGAGACGCCTGAGGGCAAACCTGGGCACCTACGGGGACAGTGTCTTGTTCAGGTCCTGCCACTGGAACACAGCGGAGCTGGAATTTCATCCTCAGCCTGAATCCAGAGGGATTGCGCTTTCCCCCTCTGCCTCGAAGGCCCTTGTCATGCCTTAGTTTCCAAATAGAATTTAACAATACAAGCAAAATAATTCAGACTAATTAGAATATTAGATTTTGCGTTTTCTTTTCAAGCATATGGATACATAACTTTTTTCTCAACTGACATTTTTACAAAGACACTTTGCCTCTCTGGCTTCCCCCTCCCCACTGAAAGCTGACGTTCTTTGAATTTTGGAGGATAACCTGCCCAGCTCAGATTCCGTCTCACACCCCAGGACAGATGCCCTGGTAGGCTGCCGCTGGGGAGGCCATTTGCCCCCTCTTCCTCCCTTATGCAAGGTGTGCCTGAGGCTGATAAAGTGTTTGGTAACAGACTTCCCTTACTCTGTTGTTGGCCTGTCCAGCTGGTGTTGAAATGCCAGCGATTCCTTCTTCCCTGCTTCCACCCCTGGTGAAAGCTACCATGTAACATGTATGACTCATGCTTATTGAAAGATTCGTTTCCAGCAAGAGGTCAACTAACTTGTTACACGTTCATATATAGGTTTGGGGCAAGGGGAAGTTACACAAGTGTGAATCCCGCTTATTAACTATTACTCGGTCATAAAACAATCCCCAAGTCCTGCCAGTGTTCTCTTCTTTGCAGTTCTCAAGTCAGTCCCTTGCTCAGCCTCCTTTTTGCCTCTGTTCAGCTCAAATCTGCATACACTCCTACCTGGGTGACTGTGGCAGCTGGGCTCCTGGCCCTGGGGAGCCAGGCGGAACCCCTAGAAGCACAGTTTGACCATTTACTGCCCAGCTTTACGACCCTCTGAGCCACGAGTGGCTCCGACATTCCCAGCCCTTTGTGCCCTGCCACATGTCACCTCCTGGCCACCCAGTGCACGTGACTCTGTCTGCTCAGATCCCCCCAGACACCTGCTGCCTCCTGCCCCTGTACATCGTCCTGACCCTGCTGCACGCTTCTCCACCCCTGCCTTTACCCAGCTCGCCCCGTGCCCATCCTCCTTTAAGACCGCTCCAATGTCGGCTCCTCCAAGAAACTGTCTGCTCTCCCTTCCCTGCCTGGGCCGTCCACAGCAGCACCCTGCACTTCGCACGCTCTTGGTGCCCACCGTTCTCAACTCGGTGCACGCCTCTGGCCCTTGCGTAAGGCTGCGCTGCTGGCAGGGCCTGGACGGAGTGAAAGTGCCCTTCCAGCCCCGAAGCGAAACAGATGCCGGGAGTGTGTGCAGAGTCCTCACAGCAAAAACTCTGCTGGATTGAGTCGGCCCCATGTCCCCTGGCTCGGGTATGGGGGAAACCGTGGCCACTGATATTAACCTGAGCTTATACCCCAGAGCTGTCCCTCGAAATTTCTCACACAGTGTACAAAAGAGCCGTGCGCCGTCACTGTCTCACCACGCCTCGTCCCAGTTACGATCATCCGTGGTTCTGTTATCCTCACGAAAGGGCTGCTTCCCTGAAGTTAAAGTACAAGGCCTCCGGGTAACATTCTCAGTGTTCTTGTCTCTGTGACGTGAACGCTTTCCCTGGGAAAGGCCAGTAAAGCAGAGGCTTCAGAGAGAGGGTGAGTGGCGGACTCTCCATCACTCCTTTGAGCTTCACTCCTCCTTGGGGCTCTGGAATGAGCACCAGGGACAGGCAAGGAACATGCGTGGCAAAAGACAGATGTCACCTGGCCCAAACAGGCGGCCTTTCAGGAGGCTTGACTTGGGATGTTTTCTTCTTCTTCTTCACGTGACCGTGGTGCAGACAAGCTGCAGGCCTCCCCCCGTAAGCCCGCCGTCAGTATGCTCCCCGGGCCGTGGGGTCCCAAGAGCACAGTTTCTAGAGGCTTCCAGGCCAGTGCAGACTGCCTGTCGCATGTGCTACATTTAGATTTGGCTTTACCTAAAGAGTGCAGAAAAGGGTTTTAATAGCATCTGAGTTGTTTGGGCAAAACAGGATCTGGCATCTCGAGCTTGGGTTTGGTTTTGTCAGTGACGAGTGGGAGCAGGTGGTATAGGCGGTCCGTGAGATCCCTTATCAGAGTGGTCAGTGAACCCTGAAGCTTCGGGTCTGCGGGCCTCCCTGAGACCTTCTGGTCCTTTTTAGCCCCAGGCCTTAGTGTGTGTGTGTGTCATGGCCAGGTGTCAGCAGAAAGGCCTCCTGGAGGGCGTGTCTCTCTCTGTCTTTCAGAGCCCTGTGACCTTCATGGGTGTCTCTGCTTGGTCACAGCAGAGCCAACAAGATAATGGCATTGTTCTTCCACACAGTGAGATCACCAGCAAGACTCTACTCTTCCAAGATGGGTCCTGTGAAAATAAAGGAACATACACACACACACAGATCTATTTATGTGAGATTCGGTTTCTTATCAGAAACAAGTCATTTACATATTAACAGGATGATTAGCTTCTGGCTAAGAATTCTGACATTTTAGTGCCACAATTGAGAATCAGGCTAAATTTGTCAGGTGGCTGAAAGTGAGGTTTTTCAGAAATTATTAGCTAATTTTTTCATTATAGAATTTATAGTCACAATTAGTATATCATAATGATGTTTCCAGGATAAAATACCAGCAGCTCAACTTTTCTGGCCACAAATGTACAACATATATCAGTTTATTTTTGGAGATCTGAAGAATTAGCTACTGTAAATAAAGTCCCCAAGAAGATTTCTCCGGGAAAGAGGTGAACTTACAGTAATATGGGTGATATATTATTAATTAATAACTATGACCAGTGCTGCTTCAATTAAAAGGAAAATGGATGAGAAGGCCTATTAGAAAGAATGTGCTTCATCTCACCAGCCCTGAGGTCTACAGAGCAGACCAGGGAAGGTTGTTGCTGAGGTTGTCTGCAGGAGGGTGACACCAGCTGCTCCCGTCGGGGAACTTCGCTGAGCACTGACTGCGGGTCTCTCGGAAGCATTGCTCATTCGGTTGCCAGGAAGGGAAACCAACTTCAAAATAGTTTAAGGGAAAAAGAGGACTTTCTTGGAGAGCCACAGCCTCCCATAACTCAAAGGACAGCATGTGCCGGTGGGCAAGGGAGGGCTTCACTCGGGACTGAGACGAGCAGGCATCCGTGTCTTTTTGGAAAAGGGAATGTGATTGGCATGTCTGGTCCAGAGGACAGGCACATGGTCCCTGTCTGCAGGTGTCACGAAACAGTAGACAGGTTTCTTTGACCAGCCACATATGGTAAGGGAGGGCACCTAGAAGTACAGCTATGAAGACTCACCCAAGGAGGTACCAGGTGAGCTGAGTCACACAAGATCCGCAGCCCTTTTCCAGACAGGTCGTGAGAGAGGACATCCCAGGCCTAGGCTGGTGGGAAGGTGCAGTGCCGGGGGCCAGCCTGTGCATGGGAGTGAGAGGAAGCGAGAGGGGCAAGGCAGGAAGCAGTCCCAGAAATGACAAGGTTATTCTAAAGGCGGTGGGAAAGGGGCACGCAAGAATTTGGTTCTGGGAGAGATTTGTGTGTTCGGAGCATCTGAACCCCTGAGCTCAGACACCTGCTGTCCTTCCAGGGTAGAAACGACTAGAGGCCCAGGAGCAGCTTCCAGGCAGGGTCACAAGACCAGGACCCCCTACCCCACAGTAGCCAGGGCTCTGGAGAAGCCCCGTGATAGGATTACCAGCAGCCTTTGTCCTTCCTGTTGCGCATTTATTTGGCTTTGAGTACAGTTATTTTATTTTTAGAGTAAAAATATGGAGTTCAGGGGCTCCTGGGTGGCTCAGTTGGTTAGGCGACTGCCTTCGGCTCAGGTCATGATCCTGGAGTCCTGGGATCGGGTCCCGCATCAGGCTCCCTGCTTGGGAGTCTGCTTCTCCTGCTGACCTCCCTCCTCTCATGCTCTCGCTCTCTCTCAAATAAATAAATAAAATCATTTAAAAAATTTTTTTAAAAATGGAGTTCATTGGCCTTCTACCTTAAAAATACCACCTTTTCCACATACTCGTCTAGAAGTAGTTCTGTAAAGCCTTCCTAATGTGGCGTTGCCCTGAACACAGTCAGTGGAATGAGACCTAACAAGCCGTTTGATTTTTTTTTGGGGGGGGGGGTCCATTTTCTCCCCAGCCTGGGATGAGAAGAATGAACTGCTCCAGGAACAGCCGGCCTCACCGCCTTCCCTTGCTTTTGCTTGAACTGGAGTGCCAAGGGGAGAATAGGGGGGAGGCCTCCCCAAGGGGAACTCACCAGAACTCCCTCAACACTACCTTTTCTCTCTGTCTCTCTCCAGGTCACGCAATATTTAAAGTCACGTATCTAAGCAATCATGACTATAAACACCTCTACTTTGAATCTGACGCTGCTACTGTCAATGAAATCGTGCTCAAGGTGAGTGTCCTCCGCAGGCCGGGCGCTGGGCATGCAGCGGGCATGCAGGGCCGGGTCTCCCGCTGCCTGCGGCCCCCTCCTCCCAGCACGGACAAAGCTCCTGGGCCCAGTTTGCAGAGAACGAACTGCCTTCTGGTCACCCAGGCGGGGAGCACCCACACCCAGGGCCGCCCCACAGGTCAGCTGCCCTTCTCCCACTTCAGCCAAAGCAGGGCCCCCTCCGGCTCCCCCCCGCCCCCGGTCATTCGGATTCTCCGTGTACTTGCCCTTTCCACACACCGCGTATTTCCTCCATTCCACTGTCAGGAGCTCCCTGAGGCTCCTGGAATGGATTCAGAGGAAATTGTTGTTATTAGGTAAAGACACTTAATGTACTCGGGATAATTTTAGCAACCTGTTCTGAACATATCCGTCTCTGCGCTACAGTCGTGCGTTACTGTGTCTCAGCAGCGCGCTCTGAGCACCTTCGTGTGCTGGGCTAGCCCTGGGGATGCTGCAGTGACAGACCCGTGCCCTGGTGCCAGAAAGGTCTTCCTCTGTCAGAGGGGACTAACATTAAATTACAGAGATTGCTAAACAGTCACAAAGGTCCCATGTAGATGTGAAAAAGGTAAACTGATGGGGGATGGCGGGGCTCAGGGAGCGCTGAACCCAGAAGGATGGGTGAAAAAGCAGGTGAGGAGAGAGAAGGCATCTCAGGCAGGAGCAGCCTGTGAGGGGACGGCAAGGCAGGGCGAGCGCGTGGCGGGAGCAGAGCAGGGTGGGAAGGCCAGGTCGCACAGAGCCTTGCAAAGTGGGGCCAGGCTGAGAAAAGTTCCCCTGGGGCCTTGCCGGTTTGGGAGGCCGGGGGTGGGCCTCGAGACTGTGGGTCTCTAAGAAGTTTCCGGGTGCCGCCGGGCTGTGGTGTGTGCACTGTGCTCTGAGTAGCTCTGGACGAGTGGTTCTCAGACTCTTCCAAACGGAGAATCCTTTCTCCCAGCCGAGTCTTGCACAGACAGAGCAGATAGAAACCACCACGCTGCGTGTGTTGGCGGAGCAGGACTCACCGGCAGAGGGGCTCCCCGGCCTGTGGCTGTCGCACTGCTGTTCGTCCCGTCCCCTCAGGGCCTCAGTGTCTCTGCCTGTAAAATGGGGATCGTAGCAGGTGCGCTGCCCCACCCCAGAACACAGATAAATGAGGTAGGGTGAAACTACCCAGATGAGTGTTCTTTCTCCTCTTGAGAGTAAAAGCCATCGAGTAATGATAGTGGAAGTAGCTAAGCCAGGGGCGCCTGGGGCGCTCAGTTGGTTAAGCATTCAGGTCTGGATTTCAGCTCCGGTCATGGTCTCAGGGTCCTGGGATCGAACCCCACGTGGGGCTCCATGCTCAGCGTGGAGTCCGCTTCTCCCTCTCCTTCTGCTGCCACTCCGCCTGCTTGTGTTCTCTCTTTGGCTTTTTTTAAAATAAAATAAAATTTCTTAAAAAGTAGCTCAGGGATTGCAGAGTACAGGACCCGAGCTGAGCACTGTATACCCTCTTCCACGGAACCTTTGTGGTTCTGCGAGACAGTAGTGGAAAATCGTTCCCATCTCCTACATGAAAACTGAGGCTCAGAAAGAAAGAAACTTAGCTAGGACCATGGCTGACAGACCGGACCTGACCCCAGGTTTGGCAGCTTCCAGAACCTGTGCTCCTAACCCCCCGGATGTGTGTACCCTTAGGGAGTTGAATGACAGGTTTCAACCAAATTATTTTGCAAAGACTTTTGGAGGCCAAGTCCTTATGGCTACAAAAGATTTCCAAAAGTAGTAGATGCAATGAAAAGGATAAAGCCACTGAGGGGACGGCTGGGACCAGAGCCCCCCTCAGACCAGGCCGTAGGGACAGAGGGTCTGCCTCCGGTGCTTGAAACCAGCAAGCCAAGAGTTACCTGTAGACTGCCGCCAGACAGCACAGGGAACTTGTTCAGTGTTTGGGGACCAGGTAAAGAAATATTCCATTACCCAATCAGGGGCTGGCCTCTTTTTTATAGCCAGCATTAAAATATTCAAGACTTGAGAAGGATTCTAGTAAAATTATAATCCTGTGTTTGACATCAAAATAATTTTCACAACAGCAGATTGATGACAGAAACACAGGTTTATGACTTCAGTACGAGGCTCCGCAGGAGCAAGTGCAGAGAAATCATTTCACGGGACCAAATGCTCCCTCGAAGCAGATGCTTTGCTACAAAATCCCTGAGGCCTGTCGCCTCCCCCGAAATGTCTGTTTTCATATGAAAATGTTTGTAGAAATATTGCATCATGCTTGAGACTCCAGGAGAGTCACAGCGTGCCCGGGCCTGATTTACTTAGAGAGCTAATGGTCATGATCCTGATGGAAGATTAAATTTCACTTTTTCTGTCTCTGATTTTTATAGCAATTTAAATACTTAGCCTTCTGTGCCATCCCCACAGTGTCTGAGCTTTGCACCAATACCAAGTGACTGAGGCCCCAGCCCTGTGTTCCAGAGTGTGGCAGAAATGTTCCCACCAGAAGCTCTCCCAGGAGTCAGTCTTAGACTCAAATAATGCATGTGGCGGTTCTAGAATTCGGGAGTTTGACATAAAACGAGAGCTTGAGGCGGAAACTGAAGAAGAAGATAAGGACCAGAGACCAATGTCCAAGAAACCGTTATGAACAGGCAACTCTCCATCAAGTGGTTTTATCCCATTGCGTTTTTCCCCATGTAGAAATATTAATAACGTCTCCCATTTACTGAACACCAATTGCATACAAGACATCTTACGTAACTCTTCAGTCTTCGGTATTGGCCTGCAGAGCGTAGACATTATTATCACCGTTCTGTAGATGAGGGGACAGAGACCCACGGCCGCAGAGTGTGCGACAGTGGTCCAACCCCAGCCCTGAGGAGCCCCTTCCACCCCGAGCCGTCGGTGAGCTAAGCCATGTGTAGTCCCTAATTCTGTAGGCTTCGAGATGAATCTCAGAGGAATCATTGGTCTCTTCAAATTGGGTTCTTCTTGTGATCGAGTGATGGAGGCTGTGGCTTTATTGACCATGAAAACTCCCTATATTTTTATGCCTTAAGCTGTAAAATGCATTGAAAGTGAAACACTCTGTAGTGCATAAAATTGTGCAAGTTTTAAGCCACAGCATATTAACCAGCTAATGGCAGACCAAAGGGCGTTTTTATCTTTTGATTATTACATTAATCTTCCATTAAAATTATCTATGTGATTATCACAAAGCACTGAAGATAATAAATTTAGGAGATAGTTGGCTAGTTAAGGATCATTTTTAAATGCTTTCGTCAAGTTATATGTGCCAAAGATACACTGAAAACACTAGGTTGGCTGAGCGTGCAAACAATATAATCCGAAGATGGCTTTTATTAAGAATGATAAAACCTCTTCTTTCCATACATTGTCTGTAGTGTCCCGAGTCGTCAGCCCGGCCCCGCAGTCCTCATGATTTATTGCGCTCAGCTGGTAACTTGGCGAGGCAGCGGGCCAAGCATGTCGGGCCTTCTGTACTCACACACCAGCCTTTAACGCCTGCTGCTGGCAACTATCAGAGCAGAAAGTTTGGAGGGGACTCGGTGTCGGGGCCTCGGCCCACGCCATCCCGCCCACCTCCCCTGCACACCCTCGGCTTCTTTCTCAGAGGCGGCAGGGGCCGCTCCCGCTCAGGGTGTGGGCCACGCGGCCGTCGGGGGTGAATCGGGCCGTGGCAGGTTTCTGGAGTCAAAAATATTCAGGTTGCTGGTAATAACGCGAGAGCAAAGAGAAGGGTGTTTGCTACGAAAAGCCCCAGCCAGAGGCTGGCAGGGGCGGAGGGAGAGACGGTATCTGAGGGGTTCAGGGGGTGAGAGCACCTCTGGGGAGGCCTGGGGAGCTACAAGTATGCCGGTCAAGGGACACCCTGGTGCGGACACTTACTAGCTCTGCGGCCTTGGGTGAAGGACAGTACCACCCTCTGCCTTGATTTTCTCACCTGCACAATGGGATGATAGTGGCGCCTGTCTCACTCCAGGAGCACTGCTGCCACCGCGCCTTCCGGCCAGGGCTTCAGACTCTACACTGGGCCCCAGTCCAATTCCAGCACCACCGCCCTTCCCTGGCTCTGCCCGCCCCACCTGGGCTGGGCACAAAGCAGTTAAGCTCCCCAGACGCACCCCCTCCTTGCTGCCACCCCTGCTACGCTGGGATGTGTGCTGGTTCTCCCTTGCCCCTGCCCCTGGTACACCCCAGACTCCTACTATTTATTTCTCAAAACCCAGATCGCTCATTCCTCTGCAAGATTTTCCTGCCCTACACGTCCCCGATATTTATCTCCTCCATCCTGCTCCTTTTGTCTCTGGTGTCCCGCGCGTCATGCTGTCGAATACTTACTAAGCAGTGAGCTCTTTGGATCAGGGACCAAGTCTTACTTTTCCCCCTGTCTCTCGAACCAAGCCTGGAGCCAGGCTCAGGCCCGGTGGGCGCTACAGTGACTGTGTGCTGCTGTGGCTGCGGCCCCCCGGGAGCGGCCTGGCTGCGCGCTCTGCACACGAGACCTTCACAGCTTTGACCCTGACCTCTGGGTGATCCTGGTCAGCTCAGCCCTCTTCCCCGACCTTCATTCCTTCTTACCAGCTGCGCGCTGGCCGGCAGGGTGCTCACGGGCAGGAGGTGAAAGCCCGTAGTTGGAAGCTCTGTCCCTACCAGGGGGAGGCTGAAAACAGAGCCTTGGTTCGGCTGGCTTTTCATCCCTGCAGTGTCTTGTCTTTCAGACGAGGAAAGGGGGGGCTCAGGGAGTCATGTGCAGGCCCAGGACTGCGCAGCGGGTGAGGAGCCGAACCAGCAAGCCTGGCACACAGCCTTCTGGGAGGCAGCGTGTGCTGAGGAGGGGACACAGGCTGCGGAATCAGGCCCCCCCCAACCCCCCTCCAACAGGACTGAGAGGCCGGGACCAGCCGCCGGTCCTCTCCAGGCCTCCATTCTCCTGTCGTGAAATGGGCCCCATCCCAGCCCGCCAGGTTGCTGTGACGACCGGGCTCCACACGCAAGAGAGCACCCGGCCCTGGGGTTCCCAGCGCAGGTCAGGGCCCTTCCCATCTTGGCCCTGAGCGAACAAGTGGCTGCTGAGTGACCGGGCTGTGTCCTCTTGCTTTCTAGGTTAACTACATCCTGGAATCACGAGCAAGCACTGCCCGGGCTGACTATTTTGCTCAAAAACAAAGAAAACTGAACAGACGTACAAGCTTCAGCTTCCAGAAGGAGAAGAAATCAGGGCAGCAATGACACTGGCCTCCAGCCCCAATCTGTCACCGTAGCTCAGAGCCTGCCTGCCAGGGCCAGGTGGCCCTAGAGCCCACCCTGTGTCCTGCAGTCCTCGGGGGCAGGCCAGTCCCTGGCTCACAGGCACAAGGCCAGGGGGCTCTTGGGGGAATGGAGCTGGGGACATCCCCACGGGACTGAAGCCTGAGTGGCAGTGGCTTTGATGAGCAGTGCCGGGGGCCCGACGACACGGACGGCACCGCAGCCATCCTCACTGCCCGACGGCCCTGCCTGAGGCTGTACATAGCCATGCCCAGACATTTCCTTGCAACTTGATCAAATTTCTTAAAACAACCGAAGAACAAAATTGTACATTTCTTTTTTTTTTTTCCTTTTAATAAACAGGTGTACTCTTTATCATGGTTGGTATGACGGGCCGTTCTTTGGGGCAAAGGATTGATCATGTCATTCTCTTTAAACCTGTTCCCGTATTGAACAGGCAGATTGGAAAAGCTATGGCTCGATTTCTCAGAAGAAATGTTTAGGGCTTCGTCAATAGTTTTAACTATGCCATTTGTTTAAATGAGTGCATTGCTTTGAGGATAGTATCTTACTAAAGTTAGGATGGGGGTGCCTGGTGCTGTGTGTCCCGGGCTCCCCCTTCAGAAGCCACCTCTCTCCAGCTCGTCCGGGCCCCTCTTGGTTTCAGAGATGCGGGACTGCAGGTCCGGCCCCCGTGCTGGGAGAGCGGGGTGACGGCTGGTCTTCAGGTCAGCTCCCAGCCGGAAGTGGGCTTTTCCATTTCTTAAATAGCAAGTGTATGTTTCAGCTAGCCAGTAGACCTGCATGTGGGGTTTTCCGGGAATTGGAAACGTCTCTGCTTTACTGACTCAGAAGGGCCTCCGCACCCCCTTCTTCTTCTCCATACAGTGCCTGCCTCCTCGTCTGAGCAGGCTGCTGGAGGGGTGGGGGGGATGGTGAGCAGAGGGGGCGGGCAGAGGGGAGCCTGCTCCTGCGGGGTCCGACTGACTGCTCCCTGACACCGCACCCCTGGCCACACCAGATGCCTCTGCGGTCCTCACCAGCCTCTCCACAGTCCCTCCCACGGGGACATCCTTTCGTGCTGTCCCCGGCCAGGGTCGAGGACCAGACGTTTCACCGAGGACCTGCATTTCAAACAATTTTTTAAATTGTTGTACAAGAAGAGATGTGCCGAAAACAGCATCTCCAAGTCGAGTGTGTCTCTTTGCACTGGGGGCATTTTAATGAATTCCTCTTTCATTCTGATCTTTGTTCAGCCAACAGAAGCATCCTTTTCTAACGTCTTCCATTCCCACCTACCCCAGAAATGAAAGAAATATGATTTGTAGCTCGCTATCTATCTGTATTTGAATTTTTAGCAATTTTATATTTAGTTATCTTTGAAAAATGTAAATGACTAATTTGGTCATTAAATCTTGTGACATATTCAATATTAAAATGATATTAAAATATAAGTCATATAAATACCATCTTTCGTGTATTGCTTTGAATTCTTGAAGTCTTGAATCCATTACCCTGACTTGTGAGTCTGCAGTGAATGGCTCTGGATAGCGGCATTTGCTGGCGGTTCTGGTGGTACCGAAGTCCCTGAAATGCACCGCGGGCCCCCTTAAATACCGAGCGAGACAGGATGACCCTCTTCACTCAGGGGCGACCCTGAAATCTTCACCTCCCTCGAGTACAGAGTCAACACCATTGTCGTGCTGTGACTTACGGCACGCCTGCAGTTGACTACGTAAAGCCCAGCTGTCCAGGAAGAGTTGAAGGGGGAACACTGGCGAGCCTCCCAGGTCGACCGAATATCAAGACGAGTGAATTCAGTTTTCTCCTCGGCCCCGCTCTCACCCCTGGATATTAAGACCACACGCTCCTCAAGGGTACACTTGACCGAGCAGGAGCTCAGCCTCCCCAAGGTAAACAGGTGACCCTAGGGCCCCGCTGGGGCTCTCCAGCAGCATCTCCTGACCCGGCTCCCGCCACCAGGGCTTCGCTGAGCATGGGCAGTCAGGCGGCCTGGCTGGTGGCCGCTGGACCCCGACTCAGCCGGCCACCGGCTGAGACGTGCCCCCCCGGATCTGAGGGCCCACAGCTCGCCAGGCGGGCTGCATGCTGGCCCCTTACAAACGCGCGCGAGCCCATGTAGCTCCCGCAGCCACCGCGGGGCGGGTGCTGTCCTAGCCTTGCGGCCTAAACGCCCCAGATCCTGCAGGTGCCACCAAGGCCCTACGGGGAGCGGCCCTGCTGTTGGGAAAGCCGCCTGGGAGGAGGAAAGAGTTAAGCCTGTCGTGTTCTGTTCCCACCAAACACCTCTGCTTAAATGCAAAGTCCCAACAGGGTGGTGTTGGCCATAAAAGCCGGAAGAGTGATTTGTGAAGTCTCGAAGCCCTGTAATCTCGTCAGCGTAATGGGATTATATTTCAAATCACCACAGCCTGTTCATTACCCATTTAAACTCCTCTGACAGAGGAAAACTTACATGAAACGTGCAAGGCAGCCCTCGCTGACTTCCCTGCTCTCCTTCCTGATTAGACAAACAGATGCTGAGGTCTGGAATGAAAAAATAATGTGCCCATTTATTCATTTTTCTGACAAGTCACAATAGATTTTTAACTGCCAATGAGTGACCTCCCGGAGGTGCGGTGGCGGGGAGGCGCCCGCCAGGCAGCCAGTGGTCATTTCCGCCCGCGCCAGCCGGTGCCCTGGCCCGGATTCCTCCCGGGACCGGAGCCGGCAGCCAGGCTGAGCCCCGCTCCCCGCTCTGTCCCGGCCGGGGCCGCCCATGAGCTCAGCCAGGGTGGGAGAGCTACTTGCTGGGCCTCCTTGGCTGTCCCTGCATCCCCTCACTGGGGTCCAGGGACCTCCCCCAGGACACAGCCGTGGCTTGAAGTCAAAACCCCAGTAGGGAACCCCGGCCCTGCCCTTGAAGAAGGAGCCTCAGTTTCCCCATCTGTAAAATGGAATAAAGGAAGAGAGCTCATCTCAGTGGTGAGGGGTCAGGGGCCCAGCTTGGGCTGCCCTCAGGTCCCACTCTGGGCTGCCTAGGACGATTGTGCCCAATCAGGGCCCCCAGGCTCTGACACGGAGAAAATGGCCTACCCAGTGCCAGACCTTCCCTTGACCTTGTCCCCTGGGGGAATAGGCCTTTGTGGACAGTTACTCGCTGGGTCCCAGGGCCACAGAGCAGGTGGGCAGAGAAAGTCCTCTGGCTCTCTGGTCTGTGACGAAGCCTGGAGCAGGGGTGGGCTGGGGGAAGGGCGGCTGGGTCAGGGATCAACTCTCCCTGTCCCTGGGGTACCCCTCCCCCTCCTAACTCAGAAGCGGGACACTGCTCCTGAGCTGGGCCACCAGCTGGAGGGAGCCCTGTGGCGGTGAGTCGCCAGAGGCATAAATAAGATAATATCACAGGCCTGGTGCACAGCAGAGGACAGGTAGCCATGGAGACAAGGGTGCCCAGTCACAGAGTTGCTGGGAACACAGAGGCCGAGGCCTTCCCTGCCAGCAGGACTTTGGGCCTCGGGGGTGGCCCTGGCCCCCCAGGGAAGCGCCCTCCAGGCCCCCTGTCACCACGCAGGCCTGCCTCTGGAGGAGCTCCAGGCAGGGCTCCCGTCTTCAAGCCTTCGCTCTATGAACACATAAGAAATACCGTGAGGCTAATTCTTTTTCAAATGATAAAATTCATCTGTATTATAACATTCCAGCCCCCAGCTTCCTGAAAGCTAAAAATATTTTAATGTCATATTTCCATGTAAATTTTAGTTTAGAATTTAATACCCTTTTAACATACATTAAATTTTTAGCATTATTCAAGCCCTTGATTCTTTTAAGGGTTTAGCTGATGTGCACTGGAGAAAAGGGCTGGCGGAGGCCGTAAATTAGGAGAGAAAGTTCTAGAAGCGAGGTGGCCCCCAAACCTCTGTGCCCACTGCCTCAGGAGTTACTCCTCCGGGCTGGGGAGCACCTGAGTCAAACCCTGGGTTCCTAGGGAGGTGTCAGAAGTCTCCGTTTCCTTCCTGGAAGGAGCGACTGTGACTGGATTTATGGGGTGCAAGGGGAATTCACCACAGCAGCCTGGGTCTGGGGTGCCAGAGTGGCCTGGGGCCCAGCGCATGGGTGCCACAGTCGGGGTAGGGTCAGGCCCTAGTTCTGCCACTTGCCGGCAGGTGATCTCGGGATGCTTTCTGTGCCGGTTTCCTGGCCCCCAAACAGGGCCAAGGTCAGCTTGTGCACGAGTGACGTTTGAGTGAATGCCCATGAAAGGGGGGGAGGGCGGTTATCGGCTCCATGGAGACCTCCAGGGTGACCTGCCTGGCCTTGCCGAGCAGGCCAGCATGACGACAAGTGTGTAAACTCGAGTGGATCATTTTGGGTTGATCTGTGCCATGCTCCAGCCCCTAGAGCAAGATCTCAATCACCCAGTGATACAGAGACACCGCCACATACAAGGCATCAAGGGCGTCTTTGCAAAGCCTGGTGATTGGCCCAAGGGCTGCGGCTTCACCGCACTCCTCCTCCCGGGGTAGGCCAAGAAGAGTAGGAGAAGGCTCGGAAAATGGCAAGGAAGGGTGTTCACAGCTGCTGTTGGGGGAAAGTAGGGTGGGGGCGTCCTGTCCCCGAGGGCTTCTGAGATCAAGGTCTGGGGCCTGCCTGAGAGCTTTCCCCACAGCCTCGCACTCTGGGATCTGGGTCTCCACTGAACGGGCCCTCACCCTTCGGCTGTGAGTCACCACGCTGGAGGCCTCAAGTGAATCCTTCCATCTGTCTGATGGCCCATCTCTGAAATGCGGGCAGAAGTAATAAAACTAGGGGTGCCTGGGTGGCTCAGTCAGTTAAGCGTCTGCCTTCGGCTCAGGTCATGGTCTCAAGGTCCTGGGATCGAGTCCTAGGTCTGGCTTCCTGCTCAGCAGGGAGTCTGCTTCTCTCTCTACCCTCCCACACTGCTCGTGATCTTTCACTCTCTGTCTCTCAAATAAATAAATAAAATCTTTTTAAAAAAGGAAAAGAAATAATAAAACCGCCTTTTGGGGTTGCTGGGAGGACCCGGCGAGATCGCCCACAGGAGAGGGGCTGGTGCAGTAGGAGCCTTCCTGAATGAGACAGCGTGTAGGGAAGGGCTTGCTTGGCCATCTGTCCAAGCAATCATTAGCCAGAATTATAAATTTACAGTGTGGAGACATGAAATCGGGTGAGATGGACAGCTCTTCTTTCTAATCATTTTCAGGGAAAGATATAATGCAGTGATCGACAGAGACGAACCACAGTTTAGGCTCCAACCAGTATCTGTGACTAAAGCAACCACCTCATTAACTTAGATCTACAAAGAGTGTCTTCATCCTGGCGAGAGGAAGGCATGGGGGAAGTGAGCTGCTGCTGGCGTGGGATGATGGGGAGACCCAGGAGCCAGGTTGGGACCCCCCAATTCCAACCAACCCCAGAAGAAGCCCAAGGAATCCTTCCAAGGCAGCCACTATAAGATGAGAGCCGTATCCTGGTGGGGAGTGAGTTCTCCAACTCTGGAGGAATGTAAGCATTTGGCGTTCATTCAACAAGTGTCCGCTAAGGCCTACCTTGAGATGGTTCTCAGCCTCCCTCTGGGCTCAGACAGCCTCACTGGGGCCCACCGCCATGGTACCCAAGGGGCCTAGATCTCGATGGGCCAAATGGCTGTCTTCATCCTTAAGCCAAGAAATTTTCCACTTCCGATGGTTGGTTTCTCCCATGTTGGAAGAAGAGCGCTTTGGGTTCAGGGACAGGACTTAAACCTGTGTCACTGCCTGGGATGCCGAGAGGGGTCCTCAGGGGACAGGACCCTGATATCCTTCCTGGGCTTCCCCAGAGAAGTTCCTGCTGACACTCGTGCTGCCCTGTGTCCCCCTGATGACCCGATGCACAAATGTCCCATTTCTCGGCTTCATTTCTCTTCCTGAGAGGGGCAACCTTGGGGCGCCCGGCTGGCTTAGTTGCCAGGGACTCAACTCTTGATCTCAGCGTCATGAGTCTGAGCCCCACGTTGAGTGTAGCGATGACTTAAATACATGAAAAAAGAAACTTTAAAAAAAGGGGGGGGGGGTCCTCCACGTGGCAAGAACAACCTAGACAAGACTTCCAAGCCTCAGAAGGAGGCTTGTCCCGTCAAATACCATAGACACGTCCCAGGCCAGGTCTCCGATAGGCCCGGCAGGGGCCACGTGTCCATCCCTGGGCCAATCCCTGTGGCTGGGAAATGAGCCAGGGCGATGGAAACCCCTTCCAAAGCCCGTGGGCCTCCGGGGAGGAGACCCCGCTTACAGAGCAGGAGAGAGGACGGTAAAATCAGCGGACCGCTGTAGCAGTTATGACATGCCGACCACTGTCGTTACAAAATTGAATTTTTTGGTGTGTGTGTCTTCTTGCACTCACTGAGA